TGAATCTGACACACAACCACAGAGAGATTCAAGTGAAGTGAGAGAAAAAGGCAACCACCACAGCTGTTTTCTGATTCAGCTGATAATATTACTGCCTTGGGAGATAGGATTTTGGAATAAACTCAAGAATCTCGGATTTAGGGTCAAATGCAGGAGAAGCAAAGCAACTCACAAAGACGGTGCATTTAAAGTAAGGGATGTTTTGCCTTCTCTTGTGGCTATTATATTCTCCAAGGAGCCTCAACATCTCCCCAGTGCCTGAGCAACCATGGATAGCATGACCATATCTGATCAAGACTAAAGAGGCAAGGAACATGAAGCCACTACTCAGTTCAACTCACTGCAGTGACTGAGGGCAACTGCAGAAAGCTCTTTGCATATAAGCAAAAGTGATTCCACAAATGTATTATTGTCTAAATTTATAGTCAGTGGTCCTTTGCCATAAAAAAAAAAAAAAAAAAAAAAAGGCAAAAAGAAAAAAACCTGTGTCTTTTATTGACATATATATTTGTTTTTATAGAGATCACCAAATAAACCTACAGCCAGCACAATGTAGGACTTTGTAAAGACCAATCACCATGCTCTCAGACACATAAGAATTTTATTACCTGAAAAAAATATTAGTCAAAATGGAGATAACATTTATACATTTGGTTTAAAGTGTAGCATCCTTTCCACCTGCCGGTGTACACTGCAGAAGACACACTCTAGTTAGCATTATTACTGACAGGATGATGAGAAAGCTCCTGTCAGACACTGGCCAGCCGGGTGTTTGAGACAAAATGCACAGCCCCAGCTGACTAGTTAGGAAAAGACCAGTGAGGTACAATTACAGAGGCATATGACAAGCTTTCATGCTTGAGTGACTTGAGAACCAATGACATGGCTTTAAACAGCAATCCTTCCTTCCTCCGGTCACAAAACAGCAATAAGTCAACTGATGCACTGTTGTAAAATCATGATTTATTCCTTTGCTTTGAATACATGAGAGTGTGGTAAGATGTTCTGGTAGACTACCACAGCAGGTGCACTTGGGGCCGAAACATCTACGGCCTGCCTCCAGCGTGCATAATATCAATGCTGTAGTTCAGCCTTCCTGGAAAAGCCATCCCTAGCACTTTAATAATTTATAGAAAGACAGAATTAAAAAATTATTTGGACTGAAACTCATACAGCTCCACGCAACTAATAAGAATATACACAGATGCAGTGATGTGTGAGAAAACAGTGCTGTGCAAGAACACACAACATGACATTTAGGAAAGGTCTTTCCTTTACAGCTCAAGTGAAACAACTAACATCCACCTCTGTGAAAAGATCAGTGCTTTTTTTTCATTTATCCTTTCATTTAATCCAAAACCATATAATTTGTTTCTCTTTCATAGTTTCATTGTTCAAAAGCCAGAAATGGTAATTTTTGCTACAAACAGATCTCACAGAGCATAATCCTCAGGCTAGCTGAATCTATCGCAGTCTAACACTAAGCCTGAAGCAAGCTGTGAGGCTGGTGATAATCACATTATTAAAGTGTTTGGAAAGTCAAACTAATAAAAGAATCAACAGTTAGTGCAAATAATCACCCAGGAGCTACAACAGAAAGGAATGGTAGGATGTTTCCACTTATATCTTGGTAGTAAACGGTAGGGCAAGTGGACAAAGATCTCCACCAAAGGAATTCTTAAAGGAGGCAAAACCAAAGAAAATAAATTTAAAGAAAGATCTAAAGAACACAAAACAATTGCAAAAATCAGAAGATGCATATAAAGCAAAGCCTGCTTGGCTGAAATAAAATACAAGCTGACAGCTGAAACACAGCCTCAGGATAAAATGGTATTTATCTTTTTTCTTCCTTTTTTAAAAAAATATTAAGAAACTGTACTCAACAGCCTAAAATAGACAACCTTCTTTTCCGGTCTCTTTTTCATCCAAAGTAAACCTTTTTCCCCTAACAGGACTAATCTCTTACTTAAGTGTAATGACATTTAGAGGGCAGAAATGCTAGACAAAGCATTTCTGTACTTAAGTGCAGTTTTCCACTCCTGACTCCCTACAAGAAGGGTGAGGAGAAAGTGAGCAAGGCCTTGAATTATGCCTTTTGTTATCAGGCACTGCCCTGAGATAGTGAACCGAAACAGAGCTGATAACACAGTGACATCACAACCCAGTCTTCATGAACTGACATAAACACTTGATATTCAGTTAACCCCAAAGATAAGGCACAACTCCCTTAACAGAAAGTTGCACTTGATAGCACTATTTTTGAACACACTCTCTTCAAGTAGCAAGCTGTAATTTAGAAATATTAAAACACAACCTTTGCAACACCTAGTACCAGTCTGCTTTGTTTTGCTCACAACAGTAAAAGAGCACAGATTTACCAAATGCTGATATCCAAATATACTCCACTTTCTTATTTGTATTATACTAAGCAATCTAACATTTTAAAGAAAAAATATCTTATCCAAAAACCACACTTAATCATTCTTGGCAATTCAATTGAATTCTTACAGGAGATTCTCAAAAGCGTTTTATATACTTCTTGAAGTTTATTGCTCTGTAAAGAAGAAAGCCTCACATAAATCCTGTTCTGGTTATAAAAGAGATGAGCAGATAGCAGTTCTCACTGGAGTTCCTGATTTTTCTGTTTTATCAGAACTCACCAGTGCAAGTGAAAATTTATGCAGTCCTGTATCAAAAATGGATCCAACATGATGTGGCAGTAATTTCATACGGCTATGACTTATGTAATGCTAGCAGACTGAAAAAATAACCAGAAAAAAAACATTCACAGCTTAGGGACGTTCTTCAGGAAGTCCAAATGCCACCAAAGTTATCTGCTATTACGCCCTATCCTTGTCCAGGGAAGCGATATACATTATTTTCAAGTGAGGACACTATCAAGATGACTATTACTTCAAGAAAAGGTATGGAGCAAACAGCTCACTTTGGAACAAAGTTCAAGTTTCTTACAACCAGCATATTACAGCTGTTGTTGTGTAATGACTTCCAAAACCTTGGAATATGAACACAGCAACCAGACGGTCCAGATCAGCACAGTGTGATTTTGATACCTTCTCTTCTCTTGTCATATCATAGCAAGAGAGATCAGCTGAGATGTTCAGCCTAACAAAAACAAGTCTCAAGTGGATCCAAATCTAGGCTACGAGTATAATTCTCAATTGTGTTAAGCTGATGGACACGTGCCCACCTGCAGAATGAGTCTTTCACAGGCACAGAGCTGCCATCATGACTCCTGTCACCTCTCTACTGGAGCAGTAAAAGAGGTCTGACTGGAGCACCACTGGAGCTGAGCTATTTATATAATGTATTTTTTGATATTTTTTTAAATACAGCAATTTGATTCCATGGTTTTGCTAAATCATGTTAACTTCTACTAAGCCAGGTTCTTTGAAAGGGGTTTTTCTTTCAAAGACTCTTCACTCATTTGGGTGCTCTTAAATGCCGAGTTCTCCCCCTAGTCATTTTGGGGGAGGGTGTGATAGAATAAAGAGTTTTCCTACGGTAAGTAAAATCTTTTGTGTTGAAAAAATATATCACAGATTAGTAATTTTGAAGATTGCTTAAATTCATTCACTACTTATTTCTCTGGTTTTCAGTCATCCATGTGGCCTCTGCTTTTATGATTCCATGTTTCCTTTGCTCCCCAATCACTGTGGACTAACTTAGTTCTGTATTCTGTAAACCACTTCCAAAGCACTGTCTTTGTGCATTTCTCCAACTGCAAAAATGACTGCAGTTTCAGGGATCCAAAACTGTGGTGTTTTAAAATAATTAGCCAGCTAATATAACTGCTAATACCACCTAGAACTGTAAAACCTGTCAGCCTTTTTTGGCAAATACAGATCTTCTCTATCTTCAATTTACTTTCAACTCAAAAGAATGCAAAGGGGTTTTATCCACTCTTTATAATCCAAAAAGTCTCACTCCTTACATGCATATGTTTGTATTGGAAATTGGCACATGCAAGTTGATTAAAAGACTAATTTTTAGTACTATATCCAATTTTTTACCTATGGGTTGGAAATAACTATTCATTTGGTAGTACAATTGGCAGTGTTGAAGAACACAGAGCTGATTGTCCACCATAGAAAGCATACTTAATAAAATGTTTTCTCAATACTGTTGGAAAAAAAAAAAAGGTACTTTTAATGACTCTGCATAACAGGATAAAGATTCTGCATAACAAATACATTCAATGATAAAAGTTGGTTATAAAGTGACAGTCTGGTACTAATGCAAAATTAACCTTGGGAATATTTTCAAAATATAGGATATTTTAAAAACTCTTAGATTCTGTGAAGAGTGAAACAACATAAAATCTGAATATTTAGGTATACTTTCAAAATAAAACACAAATTCCTTTTATTAAGCAGGCTAACTGGGAAGAAGCCAGGGGGAGTAGCGTGGGGGTAGAAAACCAAAGGGAGGAGGCAGAAAACCAAACATTTTCAGGTAGGCAGTAGCCTAAAATCTTTAATTAAAAAAAATTCTATTTTGAGTTGTACACTATTATCAGTCTGAAGAGCTGCTCCAAATCAGAGCTATTACAGTATGCACTCCCAAACCACTCTAACAAAGAGGAATCTACCTATTACCAGGTTAGGATAGCTATTATTATGGACCCTTGATTTCTTTCAAGTAGCTCCAATGGAATAAGCCACAAGTGAATAATAAAGATCTTATAATAGCCCTTAAGAATTCTTTTCAGGTTAGAAGGCACAGAAATGAACTCGGGAGAGTTAAAGAACTCTCATCTCCTGATAAGAAAAATAATTAACCTGACTTAATGTATCTGAGTAGGTCTTATATAAATCAGACTTTTGTACTTCAAGAGCCAGACTAAAACCATATATCAGAAAAGTATGTAGATATTGTCTTATAAGTACACATGGAACATATCTAAAACCACAAAGGTCTGCAGGTCATTTTGTGAAACATTCAATAAATTCTACTTAAAAGGAGATGTGTGAAGTACTTACAGTGCTTAGTTTGCTAGAGGTAATAATGATTCGTCTCTCATGCAACATACTGGCATAAAGTTGCAGCATGTTGTTCACATCCACAGCAACAAAATATTCAGTGAGGTTTCTCTGTTTAAATAAATAAAATGTTAACAATATAGCAACATTAGTAGCTACATGCATATTTTATATATTACTTACAAAAATATTTTGTCCAATTACTAGGTGGGAAAAGAACAACCCAAAACTATGAAATAAATCCATTTGCATTAAAGCTTTGTGTATGCTTTAGGAATAATCAATTGAGTTTTAAAGCCAATGAAAAACTAACACTGGTGTAAGTTATTGATATTTTCCTAATTTAATTATCCTTGTGAATTTAGATTTGCCCTTTTTTTTTAAATTTCAAAAAAAATATTATCAATAGCATCAGATGCTATTAAGATAACCATTACTTCCAACCCAGGAACGGACCTTCCACCATTTCAGTAACTGTTCGATCATTCACAATAAAACTGTTTGCCAGGCTCTCCCAAAGTCAACACATTTTATTCTACTTCAAGTACAGCAAAACAGCTTGTTGAAAACCACCAAGCTTTTGCTTGAGCTGTATGCATCAGGACATCAAATGGTCAGCAGCACTAGTGAAAGGTAGTGGGGCCTTCCTGCAGCCACTCTTTTCACCCCTAAGAAGAAAGCCACTGCCATCCCCACTGCGGGGTTTAATGAAAAGCAAAGTCATCAGCATCTCTTACTTATAAGTTCAGACAACACAAAAGAGGGGGAAATAAGAGAAAAAGCCTGGGGCAGTGGGAGGATCTCTGTGTTCCAGCTGAACTTCACAGTATTTCCCCATGGCACAACACCAGAGACAGACAAGTTCTGAATAAACTAAAACAGCTACCAGCAAAAAAAGCATAGGAAATGAGCAAACTTTTGTAAATACATATGAAAATACACTAAGAGACCTCCAGAATACAAAAAAAAATTCATTTCACACATTCATTATCATATCTGAAACCAGGTCTCTTTCTTGTCTCTCCTCAGGAACAATATATTACCAAATGTTAATGCAGGAGGTCTATCAGCTGTCCCTAGCCCAAGGACCTAAACCTGAACCATGGAACTGACAATCTATACTGGATGTGGCCAACCCGTGGCAGCAAGGTAATGCACCCCTGAATAAACAGCCAGGGCAAGACAAGCAGCGAAGGCTTCAGTCTTCCTCGACTGCTGTGATACGATGGTGGCATTGGCACCTCCAGCTCATGACCCATCATCATCAGGGAGTGTGACATGGGGCAGAGGTCCTGCTCACTGTCTGCTGCCTTATCTCCTTACAGACTCTACTATATGAAAACCTAATTTTAATTAAAGCCCAGATGATGGCCAGAAGGTTGACCTCCTTTTTGGATATATTGCAAAAGATACTGAAAAAACAGATGAAGATGCAATGGATGATGAAGTTTCATGTACATTCAGAAATAAATTACTAATTTGAAGACACAGAGTATACAGTTATTCCTAGTCTGTGCAGCATAAAATTCTGGAAGAGAGGAAACCAAGAGTTCTATGGCTACAAACACTCCTTTTAAAAAGGAACTCTGGTCTTTCAAATGCTACTTTTAATGTGTAAGAGGTTGATGCACCATAAGAACTGGAGTCCAATTTACCTCAAACACTAACACTGTAGTTGATTATGGTACACTGATTCTGTGTGGCAAAAGCTGTGGTAAAGAGAGCTTGCAACATACTACAGACCAATATATCTTGGGGATACAGTCATAATTTATTCTACATTACATCCAAAAAGTTTCTGTCACCAAAATAAGTGATTCTTACAACAAAGAATAAGATTAATTGCTAAGTTACTATACTTACACCTCATCTCTTCAGTCCCTGCATGTTCTAACCCTTCATTAGTATCCCTCTATTTTGATTCATACTAGAAGGATAAGACTTTCATAAATGGGAGTAAAAGATAATTACAGAAAGGTATCTTGAAAATTATTTTTCCTTTTTTTCCACAGAACCAGAAGAATACATCCAGAGCGGTACCATCGCAAGATCCTCCACAGGCCAGAGGCCACAGAGTGAAGCTTCCTCACACTTCAGGTTGAACACAGAACACACCTCCTAACCTCCAAAGTTGTGCTTTATTAGAACCCCAAGTAATAAGCTAGAATATGAAAATACTTTAAAATACAGGAATTCCACCTGTATGGTGAAACAGATGAAAATAAATATTTCAAAACTAAGCCCCGTCCTGACAAAAGAGGCCTTGCAACAAGGGCCCTCTCTTTCCTCTTCTCCCCAAGCAACTTTCTCTAAGTTTCTGGGATGCAGCAAGGGTCACACCATCCCCTCCAGCTTCCTGGCATGGACTCCTTCCCAGCACCACAGCTTTACCTGAGGGCCTCCTCTCCCGCTCCATTCCAGGCTGGGATTCCCTGGCTCCGTTCCCTCCCCTCACCTCCTCAGCCTGCAGCCCCTCAGCCGCTGCCCCAGGAGGCCACGGGCCAGCTCCCCTCAGCTGGGGGCGGCTCCGGACGCCTGCCCCTCCACCCCTCAGCAGCCAAGGCCTCATGGCCCACCAGCACCCTGTGGCTGTGCTTCCCACAGAGACACCACAAGATCTACCAGCAACGAGTTCTGAAGTGCTGCCTGTGTACTGTAGTGAGCCCCCAGCAGCTTAACTTTCAGAAGGGAGCTGTGACTTGACAGTAAAAACGCACATCTATACTTCCATATTCAATTCCAAATTTCAATGCAAGAGTGGAAAGCAGAAAGTTTATAAGCTCTTTCCTTAGATATTATCCAGCTAAACACATCCTACAGAATGTGATCTGAGATTTCACATTTGCAGTCTACCCACAGAACCATCAAGGACTTAGCATCTATTGAATGCAAGTCTTCATAAAAAAACAAACACACTAACAACCACCACCATTTCTGCATGCTTATCTCCAAAAGTTAAGAGGTACAGCACATTTTCAGAAAGCCTGAAACAATGCCTTCTTACACAAAAAGTAACTGTATCTTAATAGCTGCATTTGGAATATAGCAATGCAGTGCTTGAAGGAAAGGTCAAATGACACAAGGTACAGAAGTAGAATATATTTTACATAAACATTCCAAATAAATGTAAACAAGAAAAGTAATCACAAACAAAGGGTTGATAATGGTAAAAAATGCCATGTTAATGCTTTAAAACTGGTTAATGATAATGCAACAGTGAATACTAGTTGGAGGTTGTAATAATAGACATCAATAATGTTCTAAACAGAGCCTTGGGAAAAAAAAACAAAACAACCCAAACAACCAACATCTATTGATAAAAGCAGTTCAGCCCTACCCACACAATGAGGTTGATACTTACCCTAAATATTTAAAAAAGAAACTTCATACTCACACTTTCAGGGATTGTTGGCAATCCAGTTGTATCAGGAGTAATGAAATACGAGTGCTAATCAATGGGGAAAATAATTAATTATTTATGCAGACGGTACCCAAAATTTCTGTTTTAAAAAAAATCTAGCATTTAGGATTTCCAACCCCATCTTTATTTAAGCAAATAGCCATTTTCCCCAATAGCATTCTTAGCACTACTAGACAAAAAATTAAGCAGATTGCAACACAAAATAACAAGCTCTCATTCAGCACAGCACTCAAACCAAGGGAACAAACACTGGCCTGCAGTTTTGAAATAACACTGAAATTAAGCCAGCCTTAAAATGTTGTCACAAGCCTGAGAGTAGCATTGATTAATGTAAGCATTGATTTAAAAATTGCAACAAAAAAAAGTTTAAAGGATAAAATGTAAATTGAGAATGGAAAAGGAAAAATAATTCACATGAGGAAGGTAATTAGAATAGAAATATTATTACTTGATATACATTCTCTTCTCTTTCCAAATATATTTGAATCAAGTAAGAGCTGACAGAAATGCAAGGTCTGGCAGCTTGAGATTCCATAGTCATTTACGAAATACATTAGCAATTTTATGCATCTTAAGATATACATATAAAACAGATTAAACTAAAAACAGATGTAATTTAAATTACGTGCATTAATCTGGTGTTTTTAGTAGTTACCAAACATGGACTTAGCTCAATAACTTTAAGACATTTTTGCATAGTCAAAATTGGGAAGGACAAAAAATCTTACATGTATACTAAGTGAATGTGATAATTATTGATTTTTAGCTTTTATTTGATTTTCAATGAAATTCTAACATTTTTTGCACTTTGTTTTACAGTGTATTTAAAAATTATATTTAACAGCACAAAGACATAGTTTGTTTTCAAGACAAACTTCAAAAAAGATATACCAAAACATAAAATCTAAAAGATATTAAGTGTGTCTCTTTTTCAAGCAAAAAAAAATATTAATACTATTAACTCTGTATAGGAGACTTATTTAATAAGCTTGATACATTCAAGAGAAAAGTCTTCCCACAAATTAGGCCATTTGGCAATAGTTAAAAATTTAAGAAAATAAAATGGCTTAAAAAGTCATCCCATAAATATCATAGCACATACACAATCAATATCCCAGGTTATTGTTTTGCATCAACAGAAAAAAGCCAAGATTTTTGTATCTCATCAAGAACAGGAAAATATTCAGATTAATGGAATGTCTACATTCTTCAGAAGTATAGTGAGGACAGAAAATTATTTATTGCATGTAATAAGGTCACAGAATATTTATCAAAAGATTTCTGAGTAATTAAGTTAATAACTTAGAGAAGTGATTATTTATAATTAACAAAGTAATAATATTTCACTCATTAAACAGAAAAGTAAGTTAGAACTATGAGAATCAAGAACCCATTACTGCAGTCATTAAAAGTCATAAAGCAGCAAAAATAATGTGGTACAGAGTCCTTGTACATCTTTGCAAACTCCCTTAGGAAGATGTACGACCTTGGAAGAGATACTAAATTAATTGTTGCTGTCCTGTATAAAGTTTTCTCTAAAAAGGGACACTAGAAAATGCAAGTTTTGTTCACTAATTTAAGGGTTTGATTTTGGTTGCAGTTTTTACAAAAGAATAATTATATGCACACACACAGCTCTGAAGTTAGATTGATTTAAACAGAATAGATACATTACTATTAGATTGCTCTTTCAGGCTAAAGACAGCAGCAGAATTTCCCAAAGGACAGGTATAAATAAGCCTGAAATCAAAAGAGATATCCTACAGCAAGTAATTATTTCTTTAATTACAATAGACTTTAGGTAGTCAGTGCCTTTTACACTCACCGATACAAGACAAGGCTGTTTTTTCAAAACTTGCTCACTTGCAAAAATCATCTCTTGGTTCTTATGCAAGATGAGAGAAAGATTGAATAATTGACTTTTTAGTTTTCTAATAAAAAGTCTAAAGGTGACTCTAAATGCTTGTAATAGTCTGTGTTTAAAATACTGGGTGAATATACATTTTTTTTCTTTGTGTCCTCCCCCATTCAAATTCAGACTTGAATTAGCTAGCTCTTCCAACAAAAAAAAAGGAGGGAAAAAAATCCTCTATGGGTAAAATAAAAGTGACCCAATTATATTTAAGTTCAGATTTCATAGAATGAGTGATCATCCCTCATAAATATCAGCTGCAGAATATCTGTTACTGGGACAGACAGGTGAGAGTAGAACTTGGTCCTTTACTGGATCAAGGCATTTCGGTGTCCGCCTAACCAAGGATTACTCGGATACCCCATGTGTCCAGATACTGACCATAATTTATGGATTATTATATAGAAGCAATCCTAAGTACCACTGTAGTCTGTCATCTAAACTCTGCTTCAGTGTCTATGAGCCTTACCCTGCAGCATACCTGAGTAAATGGTGAGAGGGATCTCATTAAGTCTGCGTCATGAAATTTTAACTAGACACCCCAGCACAGTGAAAAGCCACCTCACGATATCAATTATTTTTGAAATTGTAACTTCTTTGTATCTCTATTACTACTGACAGTTCCAGTCTAGTTTATCTACAATATAGAAGGAGTAAGAAAAGAACATCAATATAAAAGACTAGGCACACAAGATTAGAGTTGGAAGTGGCCATAAACATTTCCCTGCTCCCTGCAGCACTGAGCACTACAAAACCAGAGATGCCTGTAGATCTAACAAGCATTCTGATTTAGGCTAACCTACTCCTTCCTGCTCAGCCTCATCTGAACCCACAGTGTTTACTGGGCTGTACCTGCAGCCAAGCATTTGGCAAGAGGTCTCTAATTAGAAAATCATCATTCAGCTAAAAAGATTACAAAGCAAGACACAACTGAAGAAAAAAATTCATGTCAGATAATATTGAAATAAAACCAGCAAGTGGCAACTTTATTCCAAGCCATTTGTTATTCCAGTGTTGTCAGCTGTATTCACCACATCCATTTCCACATTTATCACAACATTGGTTCTGAGGCAGGCAGGTTCTACGTAAGATAAACTGCAACGCTGATGCTGACTGGCAGTAACACTTCACACACAGTGCAAGGAAAATTATTTTTAAAACATTTCTAGATCCCTCTGAAACACAGCAGGATTTTTAAATGACTTTTAAAATCATCTTAGTGTTGCCAAATTCAAATTATTTATAATACTGTAATTAGTGATGGCAAATTATTCTCTGATATATAGTATTCTTGGTAAAGGTACCATGAATTGAAAAATCATTTTAAGATATTACACTGACAATAGAAAGGAATAACTTAACAAAAGAAACAATTCCAACTGCAGCCTCAAAACCCAGCACATGGTTCAGGTGAAAAACAACACACAAGACTGGAAGGGTTTCCAGATACAGTAGATTAGCACTGCTCAAGGGGGGAAATATTAGGCTGCTATAGCCTGGTGAAAAAAGCGTAACAAGGAATTAGAAGAGTAACAAGTAAAGGCAGCATTATGTTAAGCAGCAGCTACTGGAATGGAAATGGTAGACTCTCCATTTTTGTATGCCTTCATAGTAGGGCCAGACACTTTCTAGAGCCTGTGCTTACTTTAAGCAAAGTATTGGACTGACTTCTAAAGCAAAGGAGTTTAAAGAACCAGGAAATGACACAAATAAGGTCAAGATAAAATATTCTAATGATCGCTTATTATGTACATAAAGGAAGTTTTTACAAGATCACTTCTTCCAGTGTCCAGCAAACTGTAATAGTTCAATTAAGAAATGGCTATTTGCACAGTTACTTATGTGGGCAGTAATTGTACAGATGCTGTGACCACAAACAGTGTCTTGAAGACAGTAGAGGCTCTATATCAGCTTTACATTTCATGCAGGCTCTACAAATGTTTTTAAACATGCATACATATTCTACTTCTGTTAAAAACTTCAGGAACAGTAACGGTGACAGGCTTATTTTTTGATGTCTCAGTGGCAACATCAGCCTGCCGTACTATCACTGTCCACTCCCACATCACAAAAAGAGCACAAAAGCAAGCTAGACGTGGACACGATCTTTCACCTAGATGTGCTGAAAGTTTCATGTAATTCTGCCATCTTTCCAACAGCATTTTTCCATGATTAAGCAAAACTAGGAAGAAGGGATAGGAAGATGGGAAAGAAGCCAGCTCACACAGGTTTTTGTCCAGTCCTACAAGTCTACCCACTCTGCCATAAGAGGCAATAAAACAGAGTTAGTGTCTCCTGCTTCACAGCAGGAGAAATCAAAAATTATCTACATAAAACAGCTGGAAGCAGAAAAAAAGTAGTTCTAGCACTGCCAGATCCCACTGCAGTTTACTTTCTGATCCATAGAGCAAAATTCAAATCTCTGCTTTTTATGGCTATAACATTAAGAGAAAATAGGAGACAGAGAAATGCTATTCTGCACAGAGGAAGAAGAAAAAAAATAAGAGGTTATCCAAGCCAATTAATGATGGAAAGCAACATAAGTTTACTCTTCACAAAGGATATTTTTTTGGTTTTGTTTCAACCTTATTTTACAGTCAGTAATAGGAGTAGGAGTCAAAAAGAGAATACTTACCACACTTAAACTGACTAAAGCATTCGCCTTTGGCACAGGATGGCTATACAATGACTTTAACAAATCATTTGAGTCATTTTCCTATAGGGAATATTTTTAAAAGGTTCTTAATTATTGCATGAAAACTGACCCAATTATAATTTACTACACATCAAAACTTTATACTGACAAAGATATGTGTATTTCATGAGAAAGACAATTGCAATTTGCAGGGAAGTATTTAAATATTAAGTATAAAATTCAGGCCAGTTTTGTATCTCAGGAAATTATTGTATCTGCAAGTTAATTCAATCTCCTACATATTTCCCCATATACTCCTTAAATTAATCACATTATTTGCAATTGAAAATGATGTTAACATGTATAGCTTCTCTGTGCATCTTGGACATATTCCTGAAACTGCTAGCTATATTTGTCTATTCCAAGTCTCACTAACTGTGCAGCTGCTACACAGCTATATCATATATTTTTTAATGATTCATCAGAGCACATAAAACAGTTAATAAGGTTTACTAAAAATACATGTACCTACCAGGCTTAACTAGATTTCCCTGCCATGATCTCTAAGAGAGACTTTTACTTGGGAAAGAGATGTGGTTGGAGTTTTGCTTGGTTTAGGGTTTTGTTCATGGAGATGAAATTATTTTTGTTGTCAAAGTAAAACCAAAAATATCAGTGACAGGCTAGGGACAGCTTTTAAATATTGTTTGATTTTACTTCTGCACGTCCCTGCAAGAATGATGATGTTACTAATCTCATACTAGTAAACAAGACCTTAGGTCTAGCTCATGGTCAGATTAACAGTGTCAGGGCTAGGAGGAAGCAATGTTCTCCAACAGCCCCCTCAACCACAGATGAGGCACTAGGCAACACTACAAAATATTTGTGTACACTGCTGAAACTTTCTGACCCATCAAAACAGTTTTCTCAGCATACAGGACAACAAACTTTTAAACCAGCAACTTAAACTGGTTCCAGTAATAGCTGCAATGCCAGAACCAGTGATCAAGAAATGGGGGAGACAACAATCCCTACCACTTCTGTCAAACATAACTTTAAAAAAAGAAGATAATTACTATTACAGTGAGATCAGGGCCAAAAGTCTCATTACACAATTTCTAAGATCTAATTGTATCCCACACTTAACTTTAAACACAGCTAACCCAAAACCTTCCTACTGCTTTTTCGTTTTACATAAATTATTACCAACCTCTACAGGCCATTTACTCTACTGCACAATAATTATTTATTCTATAGTTCATATATTATTGAAACGTCAGCTTTTCCAGTCTACATCATATGGCTGACTATTGATGTTTTTTTTAAAATTACAACCTAGTACACTAATATAGTTAAAGCAGAAAGGTATAGTTTTAATGTTCTCAGTGAAGACAGATGCCAGTATTTCCCTTCCTGCATAATCCCGGAATATGTCCAATTGCTCATGCATATGCAAACTAAACTATCATGATTCTTCACCAAATGTTGCAAGTAATTTTGTCTTGCTAGTTGAAATGACAGAATTACAAGAGGTAGTTTTTAGTTAATGTGAAGGGTGAAACAGTACATCATATTTTATGCAGTTAAGAAAAAAAGTGTTTGCAACTGATAATCAGATAGTTCCAGAGTTCTACAGTTTACAATCAGTACATCATGCAGATCTCCAGCGATGTGACACTTTGCTCACACTTCACCCAAGACTTGTTTATGCTAAGACTGACACTTTATAAAGGTAAATTCTCAGCAGCTTTTACGATTGAGATCCAAATGACGGTGGCAGCTGTATGTTCAGATTCTTAGAATTTTAATATGAAATGAATGTTAAAACTTGCTTCTAAATTCCACTAAAATTATAAACAGTATGGAATCGCTTTATAGGGCTTCAAATGGTGATTATTATATCAAGAAAAATATTTTACACAAAAAAGTATTACATCTAACATTACCTGTTCTTTAGCCAAATAATCTGCCAGGGTATTTAGGAGCTTGTAGTAGACCTCAAACCATGGTAGGTAACTAAAGCAGGAGGGGAAAAAGCATTTTAATAAAATATCCATGTATTTTTTCCAGTGTTTATAAAATACTACTACAATTACTCAGAATTGCACATTTTTATAATATTTGAACATATAAATAAAATGCATATAAAACTTTTTGCCACAAATGTAATGATACAACTGTGATAGTAGGAAAGCTATGTTTCTTTATGCTGGACACCTACTTTCATTAAGTGTAGATTAACTCATAATACTTTCACTTCTCACTATTTTGAAGGCACCAAAAACCATTTTAAACATTGCCAAATTACATTCCTATTATCTTTAATTGTTACAGCTTTCAGTTGTTATGTTATTTACAGTTTTGAAATTCTATATCCAGTTGTACCTGGTAGACTGCCAGAACTGCTGCTTCCCTGGAGAAAAAATAATAGTTTTACCTGGGCAGATCAGACATCCCATAATTGACATGTGGTGCAATGCTATGCAATACTATAGGTGTCACATTGTAGGTAAGAATATTGGTCTCCCTATAAAGTAACTTCTGTGGATAGAATTAACTTCTAAAACTAAGAGAGCATCCACCAATATTGTAAACACACAGCACATTGCTATATGAATATTTAATAGACTTTTAACGCAAGTCTGCATCCCATATGTGTGCAACACTCCCAGTGAATTCAACAGAATCCAAGATAAATAAGACATAACTGAAGAGCATGAGAAAAGAAGGTCCAACAAAGTGGCATTAGTTCCATTTTTGTCACCTATTTACAGAACAGTTACCTTTAACAGTGACATCATTAGTGACCACATGTTTCAGAACTTTTCACAATCACTATGTAAGCCTATGATACAGATGTAATAAGTCTGGTAAACTAAACAGTACCAGCATAAATTACTCCTTATTTACAAATTACATCATTCTCATGTCTGTTAGATTTTTATCACAAAGAACACTATTAAAATAACAATAGTAAAGTTAATATCAGTTGTATGAGATTAGAAGGGGGGCTGGGAAGGAAATAAAGCCTGAAATGTTTTTACTACATTTCATACCCATGTATAACAATACTACACACTTTGTTGTTTGGGGCAGTGTAAATCCACAGACACACTTTCAATGCATTTCTTAAAAGCTCTAGCATGTCTTGTGGACAGACTTTAAATTTTCAAATTTATGTATTTCTGGAAACTTGCTAAGTGCAACTGAAAAAGCCCCAAATGCAAAAACTAAATGTTTTCCCTCATAGGAAAAGGAAATCAGTTAGTGGAAAACCTGGCTGGTAGAGAAGCCAAGTCTACTTTTGTACAGCAAGTCCAATGAAGGGTTGTGTTTTCCTTGTAACACCTCTGCTCTCAGCACACAGCTGGCAAGGCTTTAGAAACAGATCCTAATTCTTAGGGCAGAAAAAGAGGAAAGCAATAATCTGAATGTAGCTAAAATTATGCATTTTCTAGCAACCTTATTTTGCTACTCATAAAAGCTTAACTGCTCATTCTTATAAAAAAAAATAAATCATTAATTTATTCTGGCACAGAGGCAATGATTTCTTTTAGAGCCACTGCATTAATGTCTTTATCACACTTTACCATACACTGTATTGGCTATTAATCAAAGCTACACCAACCTCTTAATACTAACAGACATTTTTAATGCTTAGTATTGTTGACAGTAGTTAAGGTGTGATATTATTACATTTGTTTTTCAATATATTCTTATATAATAATAAAATTTACTTTACTGCACCTGTGTAAGGCCACTCACTGCTTACAAGTAAGAATGCTGCTTGCCCTTGTAAAACCCCCCCATCATAACAGCACCTAAAACATCTGATCTTTGGGTTTTCTTCCATTCAGGACTCCTGCTTTATTATCATCCAAAATCATGTTAACCTGGTTTTACATGTCATGGAAAGACAGTTTAGGTAGGCAAACAAAATTGTTCACTACAGCATTGAGAGTACCCGCAACAGGGCTACTGAACAGTTCTACTAGTCTAGAGTTCCAGCAGGGACTGAAACACTCTTCTAGCACTTTGTCCAAGTCAAGGCACGAGGTTAGATATAAATTGCAAAGTGTTATTATAACACGGGACACACAAATGGATTAGATGATCTAAAAGCTTTCCATTATTTTGCTGTCAGCTCTGCATTAGCAGTGTACATTACCCAGTACATTTTGCAGCAGACTACTCTAAAATCTTACTTGATCCTTTTCTTTAATGCACATTTATTAACAGCATTCTATAAAAATGAATGCTCCTGCTTCAATACAATATTGACCGTATTTCTTTCTTCTATCTATGATCTTAACTCCCTTCTTACTGTGAAAAGAAAATGTAAATGCAACTTTTATGTCTATGCATAAAAAGGTCAAATTCATTATTGGAAATTAATGAACCCTAGCAGATAGCCAAGAGATTTTTTTCTTTTCTACAGCAAGGCATGCTGACCAGAGTCCTCATAGATGAATTTCTGCCCTTAGCAAAATCAGGTTGATGATACACTTCCATGTCTTCATGTAACAAAACCACAAAGAAAAACATTATAAAACCTGGGTAATTGAACATAGTTTTAAAATGCCAGTTTCCTTTCCAAGCTGAACGACTGGAAAAATAATTGCTTTAAGCCTCATAACCACAGACAGAAAGTTAATATGATTTCAACATGCCTCTTAAACATGAAAAATTAAAGAAATCAAAATAAGTGCTACATTACATATGTGGCGTGAAACCAAAGGCCACTGAGACCTGTTCTTTGTTTCACTTCCACATAATCTTCAGTTCTTCAAAAGCACAGTCTAATTGCAGAAGTTTTTGTCAATATTTTTAATTATACTGCTCTTAGTGCAACAAATTATTATAAAGATCTACCAGAAAACAAAAAAAACCTTTCCTTTATATTTTTCTTTTATGTATTTCCTAATTGGTATTAATTCTGTATAATAAGGAATTATTACAGTTTTTATTTTCTTAAACAATAAAGACTTCATTTGTATGTGTGCACATACAACACACAATCAAAATTAAGCACAAAGGTTGTGTTTGTTCATAATAAACACAGCTATCAGGTGGCAATTTAGATTCTCAATTTAATGACACCAAATACAAGCCTCTTTTTTTTTTTTTTTGTAACATCCTCAAGGCTGTCTCCTCATGTATCACGTTTCTGATTTTGCAAGCACATTTGTTAATAAAGCTACTAATTTATTTGGTCTATTATAGTAAACAAATTTATTCATTGATGAATGTTGCCATGATACAGGCTTTACATCTTTATCCAGTAAATTGTATTAGATAGAGCACTGGATGTGGCACTTTGTGTGAAATAACTAAAACCAGAAGCATTACAGTTGACAGAATCTTCTTAGCTTGTCCAGTTAGCAAAGGCTACAAAATTATTTAGTGTTTGTTTCTGTCTATGTACAAAAAATTCATCTAGCACCTCAAATGTCCACTGACATACGTTAGGTTGGGTAACAATTCTTTTCATGTCAAAACTGCACTGTCCGCAAGGAACAATTTTGAAATGGTTGAATTTAACAGAGGAGACCTGTAATATGTTACTCTTAACTCAAAACCGTCACAGTAATATGTACCTGAACAACAGATAAAGTCAAAATTGAAGCCCATTAAAAGAAAGATCTGACCATCATACCTGTATCCATACAATTATTTGAGCAGAGCAGTGCATAATTAATTAGCTTTCTTACAAAAAAAAAAATATCAAAATTTTATCAACAAAGCCCCTTCACAGTAGATAAAACAGGAAAAACAGGGGTTTAAGATTCAATTTTAATGTATTTAGAAGCCTAAACTTCAAATAAAAATAATTTCAGTTCTTATATTATGAAACTGTTGTTGATTTTTTCTTTAATTGTACACATTGGCTTTGCATTGTTCACCTTACAATCAATAACTGTTTCAGAAACAAACACACCAAACAAACAGCAACCTCCAACAACATTCAACAATTTCACTTAAGTTGCCACAAAACACTTCTCCCATAATAAAGAAAAACATCAAGATATATGCCATATTGTTCTAACAGATATGTATTCCTTGTTTAAGAATACAGTGGTCTTTATTTAAAAGTACAGCCACTGCCTGTCACAAAAGCAAGAGCCCCAAATATTTCATGGCTAATTAAAAACGTCCTTACCATTTTCTTTTAAGCCAAATGAGGCACAAGGCAGGAGCCCAGACTTTTATTCAAAATCAGGCATAACCTTATTGCCATAAGTAGACTTCCACCTCACCGGTGCTTCTACTACAGCTCTGATAAAACTTTTACATTCATGAGTCAAAGGTTAAATAAAGGAGAGGAAATGTTTTCTGTCAAATAGTCAGGTAACCACTAACAGTCTTGAACTATCAGCAG